CTGCTGTCGTCCGGTTCAATGCCACGCCTAACCTATCGGGGCCTTATGTGGTTCGCCACTTCAGGTTTCGGGGCTTAGGTTGCCGATTTCAACCACTGAACAGCAGGTCCTCGTGGGGTTTACCCCGTCTGCTGTTCATCACACCTAGGTGTGTAATAAAAAAATCTTCCATTTTCCCGTGTTTAGCTATTTCACCCTGTTCTGTACTCCAATCCACCTTTTCCCTTTCATTGTTATTGTAATTATTGTTGTTGCGTTGGCATCGTGCTTGTCTACAAGCCGGTGGTATATATATATACGCACCACGGATGAAGTGTTAGCTCGCATACAGAAGGCTCGGTTGGCATTTGCCAACTTGAGACATCTGTGGTGCCATCGCGACATCCGGCTGTCTGTGAAGGGTACAGTATACGCTGCGGCAGTTCGACCAGTTTTGCCATATGGCGCAGAATATTGGCCAATAAGAAAACAGGACAAAGATAGACAGTCGGTGTTTGAACATCGCTGTCTACGCAGAACTGCATGAATCTGGTGGGGCAGCCGGTCGAGTAATACTGAGGTTAGACGTAAAGTTTTAGTTGACCGCGGTCGATCACTGGAGCCAATGGTTGATCTCCATAGATTCGTTGATTGGGGCATATGTTACGCATGTCACCAGATAGGTTGCCACGGCGAGCGATGTTTGCCGAGGCAGGTGGCGGTTGGAAAAATGTCAAGGACGGTCAAACGAAGACCTGATATGAAAGTATAAAACCCCTAACCAGGAGACTGGGTCACATAGGTCCTGTTAGGCTCCCTGACTGGGGACTCCCAGATCATTTTCACCGGTGGTTGGAGACACAGTGATATGGCTGAGTGTCGCAAACAGTGGCGTTCGTGCATCTTCTCAATTTGTTTGCATGCCATAGCTTACTGGAGTTCTCAATTTTCACTTCTACTGTAGTTTCAATCTTGCTGTTTTTCGCCTACTGCCTAAAACCAGTGTACGAAAGTGCCTGGTTAATGGTTGTAAAAACTGAAACTGAACTAGATCAGGAAAGCAATTATTTCGCATTTTTCAAGTCCTGTTCGTGTTTTCAATTTATGCCCTAATCATTTGAGACGCAAGTACTCATAATGTTTTATTTTTCTCTTTGTAATATTATTTCTACTAATCTGTTGCAGATCGCGGCAGATACATTCAATGGGAAAGATTAAATCTCGTCGCAAAACGGGTTCCACGAATGAAACAACTTTGGAAAAATCTGTTGTTTCTCATACATCTCCTTACTTCAATTCTTCGTCAGTCACAGTCCCGAATGCGTGCTCTACCGTTTCAAGACACCATTCTCTATGCATTCCAGTTGTACAAACAAGTAAACGAGTAGGTCGTGCGAGGAAAAATGTAGTAGATCAGAGTAAAGGAACGAAAATGTGCAGCGAAGTTAGAACTGAAAATGAAAAATCGGGCACAATGACTTCAGAGGATCCGCCGAAACGAAAAGTGACGGCTCATAGAAAGAGGTCACCAGTCATATGTTCAGAAGTGTCAGACTCTGATGAGGAGCTTCTACCAAACCAGGAACAACAAAGTGGATCAGATGATTCGTATCGCCCATCTAGGAAAAAGTCTAACGCTGGTAACAAGCATTTAAATGAAAGAAAGCATCTAACACGTTCGAAGCGAGCCACTGACGCTAAGGCTGAGAGCGAAAATAATGTGGTTGATCTGTCGACACCATCCACAACAAATCATCTCGAGGACTCAGAAGGATCTGAAACAATGGAGGCTGTTAAAAGCGCTCGAGTTAGAAGAAAAAATAAAAGTAATTTACTTTTGTTCTCAGAATTCGCTCATAGCTCTGTCCCAAAAGCACCGGTGGAGAAAGCATCACCTGTAGGAGAACAGAGTAATATGGATGATTCAGACGATGAAGATTGGGAAGATGTGACTGAGGAAACAGTTGGCGAGGTGGATATTATGAAGACATTACTAAGTGTTCAGTCCAAGCTCGAACCAAATGATGCTGAGAAAAATGTCTCTGGCGCGGCCGTCACCGTTTCCGTACCACTGCACCCCGTTTCCCAAAAGACTTCCAATAAAGATCCTGCAATTGCAGCGGCTCAGGCGCGAATTAGGCAACTAAAAGAATATCATCTCTCAATGCATGTTGTGCATGTTCTATGTTATCTCGCCCATTCGAGGTCTATTAACTTACTGTGTGATAGTTCCACTTACCGCGCTCTGGGGCTGTCTCTCTTGGGGAATGTTACCTCGATTCGTGCTGGTAAGGGAATGTTGTTAGATCCGGCGGAGTGGACTACAGATCATTTATCCTCTTGTCTGTCGTTGTTCTTGGCACTTAAAAGCACAAATTCAAATGATGAACTCCAAACCCACACCACTATTTATCAGCGCATATTTCACGGTACTTGTTCCACCACAGATTGTGCTGTCCTCTTTGTGAGTGCGCTAAGGGTCATCAATTTTGATGTGCGCGTCATTTTAGCACTCACCCCAATATCATTGAGACCACCTATATCTGCTCAATTGAATGTGATTCCCGAACCGAAGAAACAAGAGGGCAAACAGTCAACGAAAGCAGTGCCAAAAATAAACCGAAAAATAATATCGTCGGATGAAAGTGATTTTGAGCCCACAATCCAAAGGCGCCCACATAAATCCCTCACATCGGAACCTGATCCCCCGAGATATTATGTATTTGCTGAAGTATTCTTGCCCATGCTGAACCGGTGGGTTTGTATTGATTTCTATAAACCCAATGGCCTGGTTGACAAAGTACCCCACTATCCGTCCTTGTTTTACGTCTTAGGTTTGACTACAACACTTTCCGTTAATCCAGATACACAACCTTACGTCGGTCGCAACCCAGTAGATCTTGCTTCACGTTACGATCCAGACTGGTGCATCCGGTCTCGTCTTCATCGACTGCCGGCAGATCGTTGGTCCACTCTTCTGGACTATCAGCGAGTTTATTTTACCCGAGATGCTGCACTGAATTCCAGTTTAGTCTTACGGGAAGATTGCGCGTCCACAGTGCAACGAGATCGCGCCGACGAAGACAACATTCGTTCAGGACTATTAGCCCAACCTCTACCGGAGAAAATGCAGGATTTCAAAAACCATCCACTCTACATTCTACCCAGACATCTATTGAAATTTGAGGTCATCCATCCCCCAGATGCATTGCCTTTGGGTTTCTTCCGTGGAGAACCGGTCTACTCTCGAGATTGCTTACACTTATGTCATACTCGAGAATCTTGGCTCAAAGAAGCTAAGGTAATTCAGTTCTTTGGACACTTTATTTGGCTTTTGGGTCCTTAATTGACAAGCAGACGAAACACACTGAAATGATCTAACTGAGAACAGTGTTCTAATAAATCTCACTTCAGACCACGAGTTTATGCTCATGTTTGCAGGATCTGTAAGAAAAGCGAGTATAAAATGTCGTAACTGTACTCTAGGTATTTGGTCAAGTTCAAAACTAAGGTGAGATAGAAGCTGAATATTGGAGGAATAATCGGGGAAGGGAGAGGGTAAATGTTAATCCGTTGTGTTCTGCTTGATTTAAAATGGGATAACATCATCTACGTACTTTTAAACACCTGCAGGTGAATTATCAAGGTGGTTATCTTCATCAATTACTGAGTAGACGTATTGACGTATTCCGGAGATATAGGTTTAGGTGATTCCTACTGAATGTAGTTCATTTTGCTAAGGATCAGAACCATTCTCAAGAAAGAAAGGGATCATGAAAGCGTTCTGAAGTGATAATGTGATTGTGTTTCTAGTTGATAAGGATGCCAAACGGAATATGCGTGAGGTTTAAACAAAACAGTCTACCTAGGAATAATGCGAGAGAAATAACTCCATAGTACGGTCAGAATGACTACTATCGGCTTCTGAGTAGTCAGATTGAAGAAAGGTATGATCATTCATTTTGGATGCTCTGCGAACGAGCTTTTTATACCCGTTTATATGCATACTACTTACTTCCTTGTCACGCCAAGATATCATGCGCTTCTTCCTGTAGGTGGTTAAACCTTACGAACAACCGGCAAAAGTGGTTAAAGCTCGGGCGTCCTTGAAACGAAAACTGCTACAAGGCTCAGATCCAACACCACCCATGGTAGAAATTTTTGGAAGCTGGCAAGTGGAGGACTATCAACCCCCAGTGGCGCAGAATGGTATAGTTCCTCGGAATGCCCACGGAACTATTGATTTGTTCAAACCTTGCATGCTACCAATCGGCTGTGCTCATATTTGCCTAACCGGTGAGTTGTTGCATTGTCACTATTCTTGTTCTCAGGTATGTTTATATTTCGGCTCTTCATCACGATTTGTTCGTCATTGGTCTAATTATGAGACCACTTTAACCAATGAACCGTCTATTTTACACAACCCTTTTTTATTCTATTCAAGCGAACAAGAACAAGAGTGATATGGTTGAGTGTCGTAAACAATTGCGTTCGTGCATCTCAATTGCGTTGTAATCTTAATCTACTGAAATTCTCCTTTTTCTCTTCGACTATAGTTC